ACAAGTCCGCAGCCACATGCCCGCAACGCACAGCCCCCCAGCCCGTGTTGGAAGCGTCTGCTGAAACGACAACAAGACTGGACGCCTGTTCTAGAGACACCCAGGCCTGTAGGAACGAGGGGTCGCTCCAAGGGCTGAGGGCGCGGCGACACAGCGCAGTAACAGAGACTCGGTGTGCGCGCGTGTGCCATGCGCGTCTGGGGACTCGATCGTAAAGCCAGTGCTGAAGTGGTCTCATATAGAATAATCCGTTCGGCATGAAGCGGCTGCGGATGCCATATGCCCCAGGAGCCTCTGAAATAGTTTCAGTGGGACCACTATTTTACTGTCGAGCTCTCTCAGACAGTACAGCATCAGCTGAGCGCGCTCTCCGGAGAGGCGCGCTGCCATGGTGACCGAGTCCAGCTCCAGCCCGAGAGAACAGATCCTCTGCACGGTTGCGAGTTTGCTCTTTTCTCGGTTGACCTGAAACCCCAACAGGTGGAAGTGCCGGAGCACTTTGTCTCTGTGCATAATCAATTGCTCCGAGAGAGGGCAAAAATCAGCCAGTCGTCAAGAAATTGAGTATGCAGATGCCCGCGAGCCGAAGGGGCGCTAAGGCACCCTCCACGGGCTTGGTGAGGACCGGCGGAGACAGAGAGAGCCCGAAGGGGAATGCTTTGTATTGCCAAGCTCGACCTTCAAACGCAAACCGCAGTAACTGACGGTGGCGAGGAAGAGTGGAGACATGGAAATCCATCAGGTCTAATGCTGCAGACCAACCCAGAGGACGAACGCACCGGAGGATGCGCTTCTGCGTGAGCATTCTGAACGGCAGCTTGTGCAAACAGCGGTTCAAAATGCGCAGATCTAGGATTGGCCATGACCCACCGCTTTTTTTGGGCACGATGAAGTGTGGGCTGTAAAACCCGCTCTCCATCTCGGCTGGAGGAAGCAGCTCGATTGCATCCTTCGCCAGGAGGACAGTAATCTCCTCTCGCAAGACAGGGGAGGACAGGGGGCTGACCCTGGTGAATACACACCCGTGACTTGGGGGGCCGTTTCGCGAACTGAATCGCATAGCCGAGTCTGATTGTGCGTATGAGCCACCGCGAAGAGCTGGCCCGCGCTAACCAGGCAGGCAGAGCTCTCGCTAATGGACTCATCGCTACAATCGCTGACGGACCAGCAGTGGGGCAGCGCGGAGTGGGTGTGCTGATCCAGGAAGCGCGCAGGTCCCACGGAAAAGCTGGAGGTGAGATATTTGCTCTCACTCCGCACCAGAGCTCCGGAGGGGAGGCTCGAGGGGTGGGAGAAAGGAGACCGTCCTCCCAGCGCTCGTGAGCCACTGGCGAAACACACCGAATCTGCAAGCTAGAAAGCATAGCGTCCCAGACTGGCAGATGTCGGGCTGTCACATCCGGGGAAGTGGAAAAGTGCCCTTTCATAATGTTTTCATGGCAGTAAAAAAGTGCCATTGGAAATAGGGCCCCGCCCTCCAGCGGGGAAAGAGCAAGTTCCCTCTTCTCCAGATGGCCTGTCTCAGGGACGCTTTGCGGTCCGTTGCCAGACTTAGCTGCATTCTGGGCAGGGAGGCTGCCTGCTTCCGAGGTGCCCGACGCGCTCGCTTCGCCAGAGGCGTGTGCGGGGGCGGAGCAGCTCTCGTAGGCGGGTGCCTTCGGCGAGGAGCAAGTATGAATGGCACGGCGGCCGGAGCGGGCTACGGACCGCCGATAAGACATCACCCATCAACTGCTCTCTCACCGCCTTGAATTCCTGGGTGAATTCACAGACAGTGTCGCCGAACATGGCTTGGGATATGGGGAAAGTCAAGAAAGCGGACTTCGCACATATCAGCCAGGGGTGGCGCTCCTGGATCACTAATGTGGACATCGTCCTCCCCAACGCACACGCAGCGGATGCAGTAGTCCGAAGAGCTAAGTCGGCGGCGGTGCGAAGCTCGTAAGCCTGGGTTGGACCCACCCTCGTGCAGCTCGGCCAGCGCCTGCGCTAGGTAGCGCTGGTAGGTGGCTATCGCATGCAAGGCGGAAGCAGCCTGGCCCGCAGCTATGTAAGCTCTAGCTCCGAGGGAGGCAGATAACTTACAGGCTTTGGATGGGAGACGAGGCGGACCCCACCCCAGGCGGACCCCACCCGCGGGGATTGACCGCCATCACGCACTCAACCTGAGGAATCGCCACATACCCCCTGGCTGTTCCACCGTCAAGAGTGGTGAGGGTGGAGGGACACGCAGCACGAGCAGAAAAAAGTGCTTTTCAAGACCGCGTGAGCCTACTGTGCACCTCCGGGAAGAAGGGAACGCCCCTCCAGTCGGTCCGGCCGCGGAGCTGGGGGATAAACCATCTGCAACCCACGGCCGAAGCAGCCCGGGAAAGCACGGCTAACATGTCCGTTTCAGGATCCGTAGTGACAGCGCTCACCAGCCCGAAGGGGGCGAGCGGGTCTGGATCATCATCGGACAATGAAAGCCCACCCTCCGATGCCGCGGTGGACGTCTGGTCTCCGGTGTCATCGGGCGTAAGGGCTACCATCTGTTAGACGGATCGCTTCCCCCGCCCGAAGCTTGGATGGAGCGCTTAGAGGCGCGGGAGGTCCGCGGTCCCGTAGGCAACGGATTATCTCTCGCTGAAACCCTGAGATCTGCCCGAGTGCCCGCTGCAGAGCAGGGGACAACTGGGGTGGTTAGCCCTTTTGCAAAGGCTAGCCGCGATCTTTACTGCACAACAGTCATGGCATCGCAATGACGACATGAACTGCCTGCGAGCAGCGCATTAACATGCTGGACCCCCCAGACATGTAACGCAGTGCCCGTGCCCATCATCCGAGAACAGGAAACCACCGCATCCAGAAACGCACAGTCGGAGCGCCGTCCTGAAAAGGACGTGCTGCACGACTGTGTTGCTCTTTCTGTGAAGTTTGCAACTTTATACGCACCGCTCTGGAGGACCGGACCCAAAGAACGCCAGGCAAGGGAGAAACCCAGCTCGACCGTCTGCCGCTACGTGTACACACTCTGGACCGGGAGAATGCTCTCGTTCGCTCAGAATCGCTGGTCACAGCAGGAGGAACCCTCATCGACTCGATCAGAAAGTCTCTGAAGCGAAAAGGATGGCGTTTGCTCGCTCCAGGTGTGCTTATATGCTGGGATAATTGGCAATGAAGTACACCTGTGCATGCTTACGCTGCCAATTCATTGCATTCATTGGCCCGTTCAATACTCTTTCAGACAAGCGGCTTCTGAACCGAATCCTCCCATTCGTGGATTTCAATCAATCCACTCTATGGCACTGAAGTTCCTCAACCGAAGGGGAACTGTTTTTATTTTCCAGGTGTGTGAGTACAAGAGTGCAGTGCTATGGAGACTGCATCTTCTGTGCACCTGTTGCCACTATAGGAAAACTGATGTGGGTCCAGTGTGGATGGCAGAGTCTTTTAGATGTGCCAGGACCAACCGCTTAAAGCACTTCATGATGATGGGTGTGAGTGCTTGCGGGTCGGTAGTCATTCAGGCATGTTGGGCTGGAGTGTTTCAGCAATGGCACAATAGAGGTGGTTTTAAAGCATGTTGGCTCAGATGCTAGGTTAAGCGACAGGTTGAAAATGTCCGTGAATGCCCCGGCGAGCTGTTCTGCACGTTGCTTTGAGGACATGCCCAGGAATACCGTCTGGTCCAGCAGCCTTAAGCACATTGATTCGAATCAGTGCGATGTAGACTTCTAAGGAAGTGAGTGTGAAAGGTGAGTGGTTGGTTGAGAAAGTGATCCTGCTGTAGGGTTCTTTATTGTCTCTTTCAAAGCAGGCATAAAAGTCATTTAGCTCGTTCAGGAAGGAGACATCTTTGGCTGTGGGTGTGGACTGGCTGGGTTTGTAGTTGGTGATGGCCTGGATGCCCTGCCACATGCGCAGAGGATCAGAGTTCAAAAAGTGCTCCTCAAGCTTTAGCTTGTTAACAGTGCTTGGCCTTTTTAATGCCCCTCTTCAGATTAGCCCTGGAAGTGCTGTAGGCCAGTGCATCCCTTGATCTAAAGGCAGTAGTGCGTGCCTTCAGCAGGAGTCGAACCTCCTTGTTCATCCATGGCTATGCATAATCCTCCACCTCTGGTCTTAAAGGAGTCGTCCACCATTCTGTCTGGTTCTGTACAGCGTTGTCTGGTATCCTGCTGTTTAGCCATGTTTCTGTGAAAATCATGATGTTACAGTTCCATAATCTTTTGCTCTGGTTGATGTGTAGTCGAATCTCATCCATTTTGTTCACCAGTGACCATACATTGGCGAGGAAATGCAGGGTAAAGAGAGCCAATGTGGTGTTAGCTTAAGCTTAGCTCTTAGCTCCGCTCTTCTGCCTCCTTTGATAACGGTCTCTATGCCGCCTTTGAGCACTTCTGCCCGACTGGGCGGGGCACTCAGCCTGGGGTGTTCTGGCGATCTCAGGGATGAGTGGAAGTTTGCAAATAAAATTATCTGGAATGCACAAACCAATACCCATAATCTCCTGTCGGGTGTACGATGTAAAGTCACTACTGTTCTACACGAACAGACCTGAAATGAGCAGGAATAATACTGCAAAACTGCAGATACTGGAGAGACGCCGGGCCTCACGATGTGTATGCGCTGCCATCTTGCCTTAAGTATGAAAGGTATGAAATATACTTATAGTGCAAAAGGTTAACCAAAGATGAAAATGTACTCTTTTTTACTGGTTCTGTTTATTACAAATGAAGATATTTTGAAGAATTTTGGAAACCAGTGAAAAAAATACTATGGAAGTCAATGTTTGTTGGTTTCTAACATTCTTCAAAATGTCTTAATTTGTGTTCATCAGAAGAAGTGCATCTTTTGAAATAAGTGGAGTGTGAGTAGCCTAATTAATGACAGATTTTTTATTTTTTTTGTGTGTAAACTATCATTTTAAGGAGATCATTATGTTGTGGATACTACAGCAATGTGGCAAGGATACATTTTACACACAAGACAATTTAGATTTTTTTTTTTTATCATACCTCCCAGTAGATTGAGTCATCAAAGCAGTTTTGGTCGGGTGGCTGTCCCAAAAACGGAATCTTCATAATTAGACCTGGAGAAGGTATCAATGATATTTTACTTTGTACTCCAGTGATGCAATATTAGATGAGTAAGTGACAGAAAAAAGACCAAAAGTGTATTTTAAAATGCCTTGCCCATTTTGTTTTTCTAATACTTATATGCAGTTAAAAAAATACAGGATTCCACACAATTCATTCATGTTGTTCTAACATAAATCAATTAAGTTAACTTTACAAATTTAAGTAAATTGAATATATATATAAAAATTAAGCTCCCCCCTCCAAAAAAAAAAAACAAAACAAAAAAAAAAACAGAATTGTGTTGTTTCAGCTTATTTTAAATAAGTGGTTTAAACAAAAATAATCTTTTGAGCGTATGCTTAGATTTTACCAAATTATATCCCCAGCACATTATTTGATTAATTATAATAATAAGATTTAAAAAAAGTATGTAAAAACAAAGTTTATTGTACAAATTGTCTGGATGTCTATTGTAGAAGGGATATGTTCAAGTTTATATATGCATACATTATATTTAAAATGGCAAAAATAACAACAATTTTACATGCTTTGCAGATCATTTTATTTGAATTAGTAATGGTAATTAGTAATTGGAATAGATTAGTACCCACCTGTGATCAACCCACCAACCAAAGCAAACCCCAGAGATGATGCCAACCCAGCTGCCTGATAAGTTGGTGAAACACTGGAATAAACAAGCACAAAGATGTTAAGAAACCATTTTGTTTCCATACTGATGCTAAAATGTAAAAACCTAATGTAAAGGAACTGCCAGGTTACCCTTCTTTCCTCTTCAGTGCTGCTGCCAAAATGCCAGCAACGCCTCCCAGGATGCCCGGCATGCCATGAAGGTTATGCACACCACAGGTGTCTTGGATGCCAAGTTTAGAGGCGAGTATGGGCTAAGATAAGAAAAAGGTTGGATTAACATGTGATATATGTTTATGATATATTACCTGTAACGTTCTATTATTTTTAAAGCTCTGCTTTGTTTGCTTAATTGTCTATTCTCTGTGAATTTGGTTTAATATTCCACTGACGTTCTGATAATAAAACCATAGTGGTAGAAAACAAATATTATGGTAGTCAATAGTTACTGCTTTCCATCTCTGGAATGCAATACAAATGCGCCAGTCAATGCCATAGCACAGGTGTAATGTAAACAGCAATATGAATGATTATCTGATGTTTTTGTTTTTGGGACTCAATTATTTATTATTTTCTTCATTACAACAACAAAAAAGCATAGTATGCTTCTGATTAGTCAGCTATGAAGAAACTGTTAGTCAGACAACAAAGTCATGCGCACATACACTCTCTGATGTAACTGAACTACAAAATTGCATACATATTTAGTTCAAAATAGGCTGTGTATTCGTCTGCTTATCGTGTCTGTGATATGAATGAAAATGCATACAGTGAGGAACTTGAAGCCAACAGTGGAGATGATGCCCGCAGTGATTCCAATCAGCATGGCTCCAAATGGCTGGATGTCCATGTCAGCGCAGGTGCCCACAGCGACACCTCCGGCCAGTGTGGCATTCTGAATGTGAACCTGTGCCAAAGAACTCAATAGGCTAAGACATAAGGCTCATGACCTGGTCAAATGTGGAAAAAAAATAATATCAAGAGATCAGTAAGACCCACCATGTCAAGTTTTCCTTTCTTCTCCACCAGACTGGAAGTAGCGTAGGCAGCAAGAGCACAAGCAGCCAGGGAGAAATATGTGTTGACAACAGCTCTTAACTGGTGATCGCCAGGTGTAGCAATAGCAGAATTAAAGCTAGGCCAGAACATCCACAGGTAGACTGTGCCTGAACACACAAGACAATACCCAAATTGAGTATGTTTAGGAGTGTCTATTAGCCTTATTCTTTGTCCATCTCATGTCTGATTCATGTCCATTGATATGTAGATGTTAAAAACTGCTCATTAATGACTAACATTTTCTTATTTTAATACTCTCCTTTTTATCTATAGTCATGATCACAATTGTTTGTAGAGCAAGTCTTTTTAATCGTTTCCTGCCTTTTCTTATTCCTAGTCATTTCTCCCATAGGCAATTGATTTGGAAGTTCTGAAACAATCGCAAAAACTAGTGCACTTCTACACTGTAAAATATGGTCAATACAAGCTTAAAAGGATAGTTCACCCAATACATGAAAATGTACACATTATTTACTGGTTTTAAACTTTTAAGAGTTTTAGATATTTTGAAGAATGTTAGAAACCAATGACACCCATATGGCCCGTTTTTACTGAGTGGTACAGTATGGGTCGGTACGAGTCACCTTTATCAGGCTTGCCTTTTTACTGCCAAAAGGGTACTAATGGTACCTTCACCAGCACATGTAACCTCTTCCTAGAGAGTAATTCCGTCATTCCAAGTTCTTAATAGTTTAAAAGCTGATGATAATAGTTAAACATGACGTTTTGTTCATGGTTTAGGCTGTTGAAAAAATAATTTGCTCTCTTGTTTTTTCCGGCTTCTCCATTGATTTTTGCGATTCACTTTCGCGTCTGTCCGTTTCTGAAAGGATCAGATGTCAGAAGCACTTCAAATATCACCTGCACGTTATTATCATCAGCTCAAGAACTTTGTTACTACAAATATAGACACTCAAAAGAAAAAATCACGAGCTCACTGGAGAAAGTGAAACCTCCCGCAAGTTTAGACGACCTCGTCAAACAAAAAAATAAAACGACAGATTTTGTTCATGGCTTTGTGGCTGTTCATTAAGAGGACGACAAGGTTTGTTTGAGCTTGAGTCAACCATGGCTTGTTGTTATATGTATATAGTAATACGATGTAATGTCTTGGCTGTGTATTTAAAAATGGCTTTTTTTTTTTTATTCTCCTGCTTGTGTGCACTAGTGACGTTTCTCTGTAAACCAATAGCATTCAGCTGTGCTTCTTGCTCAGCCTTTTGGTACTCTTGTTTTGATATGTACCCTTTGCAAAGGGTACCCAAAAAGTGGTACTGTACGGTTCGCTTTTTGGTACCTTTTGACAGTGGAAACAACCATAAAATATTGGTAAAATACTGTATACTGTATAATAAAATACTTTACACTGTATGATAAAATACTGTACTGTACCACTCAGTGGAAATGGGCCAATAGTAGAAAAAACTAATACTATGGAAGTCAGTTACTGGTTTTCCAAATATCCATTTTGTATTCAACAGGAGAAAGTCAATCAAACAACTTTGGAACAATTGGTGGGTGAGTAAATGATAACATGATTTATGCTTGACTTTTTTTCTTAATTATTATTATTATTTGTATGCTTACCAAATCCCAAATCCTCAATGATATGAAGACCCATTACTTGCACTATCCTTATTTATTATCTGCTTTGAGCTACAGACATAAAGACTGTTCAGTGTGTAGGGTCAGATTTACTAAACAGGACAGATTAGTGTGACGCTGCAGTCCCATAGAATGTAATTTACTAAGAGCAGCACAAATTAATAACACTGCATTCCAAATAAATAAACACAACAACATCCTCTGTTCTCTGCGTTCCCCCTCTTATAGTTTCTTTCATGGTATGTTAACAGCAAAATTGGTTAAGATGCTTTTTTGAGGGATGTTATGTGGGGAATAATGTACAGTACATCCAGTTAGTTGTAATTGTGGAATAAAACATCACAGGCTTATCAGTAGTTTTTTAAGACTGAAGAGGTCTGTTTGGTGAAAAACAACCAGCTTGATGTACTAAACATTATCTAAACATTTAGACAAAACATTATTCTGAGCTGTAATTAATTACTAGCTCTTTAATTAAATGCAAAGCTTGCAGGTAATAGTTATTAACAAATGGTTGGATGCAGCCAACATTATATTTTCTTTGGTATTATTAATTATTCAGTGGTCAGAACAGTGCAGTTGCAGAAAAGTATGGCAGTGACGTACACATCTAGCACAGGTCCAATCACTGATCCACTCTCATGCTTCACTTTGGGCATGAAACAGTCTGGTTTATTCGCTTCTTTGGGGCTTTTCCATGCCGTTAACTTTCCCAGATGTGGGAAAGATGGTGAATGTGGACTCAAAGTCAGAAATATAAGCACCCACTCCCCGCCCTTTTTTTTTTCTTTCTTTTTTAAAATATTTCCTAAATGATGTTTAACAGAGCAAGGAAATTTTCACAGTATGTCTGATAATATTTTTTCTTCTAGAGAAAGTCTTATTTGTTTTATTTCAGCTAGAATAAAAGCAGTTTTTATTTGTATTTTAATCATTTTAAGGTCAAAATTATTAGCCCCTTTAAGCAATTTTTTTTTTCTACAGAACAAACCATCGTTATACAATAACTTATCTAATTACCCTAACCTGCCTGTTTAATCTAATTAACCTAGTTAAGCCTTTAAATGTCACTTTAAGCTGTATAGAAGTATCTTGAAAAAATATTTAGTTAAATAGTATGTACTGTCATCATGTTATTTTTAATGTTTAATTATTGCAAACTTTAGTAAATCACATTTACTCTTAATAAATTTAAACACACGCTTCCCATAAATTTTGCTTCAATGAAGCATCTTTAAATGCACATGCAGTACAGTCATATGCAAACTTTCTGGTTTGCCTAAACATTGGTTGACTTTAAAACTCCTATTAATGGCTAAAAACCCATATAACAGTTTTAGTTAATGCCAAAAGAGGGTTTGGTGTTAGCAATTGTGCCCCCTAATGTCTTAGGCTGTTCGCAAAATTGAAGACTTTACTGACCAAGGTGAAATTATCCAAGGCTTTTTTTTTTTGTTTTTTTTTTTTAATCAAGACAGACTCTCCTGAATCATAATAGCATCAGTATAAGACTCTCAATAGATGGTTTTCATTCTCATGTAAATTCTTTTGTATGTGATGCATTATAAAAATCCAGCTTTAAGCATATGCAAAATCCTATATAAGAAGGTCCATTTGGCACTCTGATTACACAACTGGAAAAAAAGGAAGATTTCTGTTGTACACATACCGATCATTGCAAACAAGTCTGAGTGATAGACTGATCCATCATTGTCATGGCCATTACGCAGACCAGGCCTATAGAGAACACGAGCTACCGATAACCCAAAGTAAGCCCCAAAAGCATGGATGGTCATGGAGGCACCAACGTCAGAAACCTGTTGAGAAACCAGAATGCCTTTGAATAAAAGATGAAAAACTTCTGAAGGAGTTCACATTTGACTCTGGTTTATTTTTGTGTGTGTGTGTGTGTGTGTGTGTGTGTGTGTGTGTGTGTGTGTGTGTGTGTGTGTGTGTGTGTGCGTGAGGTTAATTTTCTGGAAATAACTCTACTATTTAATAACAATTTGGACAATATCAAACTGAACCCTGGTAAAAATACTAATTCAGATTTTAGTTGTATTTTTTATTTAAATAGTAATCATTAAATAATAAATTATTTAAAATTTTGCAATGACAAAACAATGGTATAGGTGTATCATATCATAATAATACATCAACTATTATACTATAATCTATCTGCCAATTCAAGCATAAAAATGTTAATAGTTTTTTTTTTTTACATTAATTTATTCTGACACAGTATCTCCTAGAAGACAAAGAGGTTGTTGCTGTTATTGGAACACTGGGTGTTTTATCCTGCTAACTTTAGGAAGGAGTTCAAAATTATCTAAGCTGATTTTTCCCTCATCTTTGGCCTATAAAATTAGCTAGCAGGAAACTAGATATTTTACAAAGCTATGTTACTAATACAAAGGAAAACAAACCAGATTAATAGGAGATTTAATGCTTAAACTTGGCAAGCTAGATAGATGTTGTGTGAACAAAGTTAATTATTTTCCTGGCATTGAAAGATATGTCCTCTTTTATGTGTTGGCTGTGCTTTTGTGAATCGTACATTATCTCTCAATCCAAAAACAAACAAATTAGCAGAAACGAGCAATAAAAAACATTTCCATGCACATTTAAGCTAATGCAACAATCAGACATTCAATGTTAATGAATGTAATATAAACCCACAAAAACGTATGTTTTGTGGTACTGATGAACTCTTATCTATTCAATGTTTTGATCATTGTTCTGTTGATTGTTGTTGATAATTTTCATCTGTTCGTACTGTACCGATCCTACTTTTCTTAACGAGTTGCGGGAGATGCTGTTTTATATATGTGGTGTTATATTCTGGATGTGTGCTCTCACTGCGCTGGGTCCCTCCGTTAGTGGCAAGACCACTGGATTTCGATGCCAACAGTCGGTCGGCGTCTCGCGAGTAAATGAATACGGTGAATGAGAATACACAGGTATGTGCGTATAGACATACATTGTACTGCTGTACAGTAACGTGTCATTTGTTTGTTTTGGCTGTCCTAATTTTAATAGTTTCGTTATGATGTGGTGTGCTTTATCTGCCTGATAAAGTGGGCGGATTGAGTGACGTTCGATTTGGGGGATGTTCTGGGGGCGGGGTTTGCGTGACGCGCCGCGAGCTGCTAGCCCGACAGTGGAAACGCGACATGATTTCGGCCTCACTGCTCAACCTCCCGGGCGATTGGCCCGGCCTGGCCCGATAAAAGCCCTGGCTCGCACTGGCCCAATAGTGGAAATGCGGCTATAGTCACAGGTGGCCCAGTTACACACAGTCGTAAAGTAGAGTAAAAGTATCTGTTTTAAATATTACTTAAAGTGTGAGTTAAAGACCTTTCAAAAGTACTCAAGGGTAGTGAGTATTATGCTGTAAAAAGCTGATGCATTTACATGTTTGTGGATGTGTGTAAATGTAAAATTCTGTAGTGCATTTAGTTATTGCCCAGCAGGCACACAACAACAAAAGACGTTAATACTAGGTTAGATTTAGGTCGTGATGTCAGGAATACAAAATTCATTGTCTAGTCAGCGTCTAAGGATAACATTATTTTGAAGTCCAAGAACGACATCAAATTACGTTGAAATTTAGTTGATTTTAGGTCGTTTAGAAACTGACCAAAATCCAACGTTGAGCCAACATCTTAAACCAATGTCATATTGACGGCAAATCCTGACATTAATTCGTCATTAATTATAGCAACCAAAATCCAACATCTGATAGATATCATAGTGGTAACGTCAACGCAACGCTCTTTCTTTCTACTTAATGTTTTTTTAAAGCTTGTTTACATTTCACCAAGTGTTGGTATTAAAATAAAATCAATATAGCTTTTATCATTTATTAAATGAAATTTATTATATTTATTAAAAATGTAGTTATTTTAACTTGGTAAAATATGCACAAACCCAACTAGCTTACATTTATTTATATTTATTATTATTATTTTTACTGAATTTATTATCTAAACAAAAAAGATCACAATTCACGGTATAAACAAGTCATTAACTAACACTTCTTGGTAACTGTAGTAAACTACTAATTAGCCATATAAATTAATAGTAAGGTAGACGTTGGGTTTAGGGTTTGGATTAAGGATGCAGAATAAGATCTTGAAGAATAAGAAGACTTCAAACAACTAATGAACATTTAATATCTTAATAATAAGCAGCTTTTACCACTAGCATGATTTGTGACCTAAACTAAATTGCTACCAAGAAAAATGTTGGTGGGGAAAGAGTTAAAATAAGTAAAGAGAATGGAAGGGATGTCATGTGGACTTCCCTATAGAATGATAAAATTAGCAACAATATCTATAATGAATTAACCTTTAGCTAACCTTCGGCATCCCTTGTTTTTCTGTAACTAAGCACTCTGTGCTGGAACACAAACACTTTAAGTAAGCAAGTGAATGAGCTTTTACAAACCCCAAGTATTTCCACCACCAAATATTCGTTAATGCAGAATGTGGTGATCTCCAGCAGGGTCATGATGAGGAGCTGGACGGGGCTGGTTTTTCCCAGAACTGCGCCGAATGAGATCAGAACTGTTGCTGTGCTGAAGTCAGCATTAATCATCCTGCAAAGAGGGAATTATGGGAGAGAAAAAGAGTTTATATTTGAATTTATATAAATATATATTAATATGGAAGGAAAGTAAGAAGGAAAGTCGTGACATCAAAAAATAAATAAATAAATAAATAAAATAAAATAAATGTATAGGTTTGCTGTTTGTTCAAACTGTTTATTTAAAATGAGCTGAAATAACACAATTCTAAATTTGTTTTTGCTGTCAATCCACTTAAATTTGTAATAACTAATAAGTTAATTTAATTTCATCATGTTGTCTCAAAACAAATTGATTGTGTAGAACCCAACATGTTTTACATTCATTCATTCATTCATTTTCATTTGGCTTAGTCCCTTTATTCATCAGGGGTTGCCACAGTGGAATGAACCACCAACTTTTCCAGCATATGTTTTACACAGCACTGGGAAACATCCATACACTCTTATTAACACATATACACTGTGGCCAATTTGGTTTATTCAATTCACCTATAGCGCATGTCTTTGGACTGTTGGAGAAACCATAGCATCTGGAGGAAATCCACATGAACACGGGGAGAACATGAAAACTCTTCTCAGAAATGCCAACTGGCCCATTTAGACTCGAATTAGTGATCTTCTTGCTGTGTGACCACTGAGCCACCATGTTGCCACATGTTTTACAGTGTATGATAAATAATATGAATTATATGTTTGTACTAAGGTTCTGTTGAGTGCTTAATTCTGATTGGCCGATCAACATTGAAGATAAACACACACCTAAATTAGTTTTCAGACTGGTTTTGACTGCATTACAGCTCCTTATCACTATGCTGAATGATTTCAGTTACTAGACAAACGTCCAACCCAGAATCATTCTTACAACATACCTCTATATACATTTCTGAAGAGCACCAAATATGTCCCAGGAGCTATTTCGCAATTCCACCACAGGCCGCTGTTTACACTTTTTGAGATCTCAAATTTCTCTTGCTAGTGTCACGGTTGTAGATCTATCTGCTCTTTTTTGATGTGTCTGCGTTGTGTGACGGTTCATGTTATGTAGCGATCGTGTGTTTGCAGTGCTAGCGTGTGTGCATTTGTCTCTGTGTTTGTGTGGGAGTCGCGTGTCTGTCAGTGTTGTTGTTTTGTGTCAACAGCTGAGCGGTCACATGATCCTCGTCACCTGACCGTTGCCTAGCACTGCTCAGCTGATAATCAGCGCCCAGGTGCAGCGCATTTCTGCTCATATAAATATTCAGCGTTCGTGTCTCACGTTGTCAGTTCGTTGTATGTTCACGGTCTTCTGTGTTCCTGTCAGGCTCTCCTCGTTGGTTTTCGCTGGTGGTGAGTGGGCTGGTTGTCTTCCTTGTGCAGCTACTAGATGCTTCCTGTTTACATCTAAGATGATGTTTGATCCTCTCTGTTGACGTTTGTCATGGACATTTAATCGTAATCAATTTACATGGATCATCTGCACTCCCAGTCATTTACCTATTTACCTGTTTTTGTGAAATCTTCATTAAAGACTGTTTTACTTGCATTTGGGTCCCACGTCTTTTATGTGTGATCGTGACAGATAGTGCCATTCATGCTTGCTGTTCTTGCATAAATCCACCAGAGGTTGACTGACTGACTGACTCACTCCTCATTTCCACTATCGTGCCTTAAGCGAGCGAGCTGAGTGAGCCAAGGTCAGTCGCGTTTTCACTGTCACTTTCAGGGCCTAATCGGGCCAAAGCAGGGCTTTCTCGGCGCCAGTGGCCGGCCTTTTTCGACCTGTTAAATACATTGGGCCAAAGAGGGGCAGCTGATGCTTCAGGGTGGAGTGAAAGGAGAGGCGAACACTAGCTTTCTGATCGCACACCAGTACATGCGCCAAACAAATAAATAAATCAGGGAAAGAAAACATCTAGCCTTATAGGCTGGGGTCTTTTTGCGTATGATCACCCTTATGTTACCCTTTTAAATGTAAGGCTGTTGCATAAAATAATAAAGTTTTAATTTATAATTAACATTCTTTGCCACATACTCCTTAATGTTTCAATAACGCATAATAATCTTTACACCCTATTAAAGACACAGCAGACAGTAAAGGTTTTCGAGAGTTCTTTTTTTGGAGATAATACACAATATGAATACAACAGAAAGACATAAACTTTACAAATTACGTGTTCACTTTTGTAGGCTCTTTTGTAGTGTCATATCTTGAAAAAAAGCTATATTCAATATATAGAATATAAAAAGCAATATATAGCTATATTGAAATAATTACAAATATCAGATAATATAAAATTACATTAAATAAATAAACCAATATAAATCAAACAAAAGCTAGCTAAAACAATTTAGGTATTTACAATACATAAATCAAACCGTTTTAAAGCCATATTAAACTTTATTTTACTAAGGCCTATCTGAAAAAAAACATTTTATGTTTTCTAAAAACAATAAACACCGAAAAGGTTTTGAAATATTATTTATAAAGTATTTGGATATGATGATATTAATCAAATTGTGCAAACAGAGAATTTTTTGGGTGAGTGAAAGCATAAAACTAGATAAAACCTTTTTTTCTGTCCTGTGCAGCTCCTCTTTACAAACGCATCAGAGAAAACTGCAAATACAAAATGTGTTCTGTGTTCTCAAACAAGTGTTTATGTTTTTATATTAATTTATGTTTATGTTTTATATATATTTATATTAAAAAATGAAAGTTGAAATACATGAAGAACTTTAATGCTTGGTGCTTGATGCATTGAAGCTGCTGAACGCAATGAAGTATAGGCTTTATTTTATTACTTGCTCTTATGTGCTGAAATACTTAACACTTTCCTTAAGATCACAGAATCATATTCAACATTCTTAAATAAAGGGGAATCAGCTATTAAGTGTCATAATGCCTTTAAGGAAAAATTAATATGTTTAAGGTCTCTCCAGAGCATTTGGGCTGAATGTTTGACAGCCTCTATCTAAATGAGGATGTTATAAATTACATTTTATACAGAGTTATTAACTAAGAATTTCTGTGGTTTTATATTACAGATGGTGCGCTCCCTGCGCTGGCGAGACCACTCGATGTTCGCTGCCAACAGTCAGTCGGCGAGTAAATTAATATGATGAATGAGAATACACAGGCCTGTGCGTATAGATAGATAATGTACTACTGTACAGTAATTTGTCATTTGTTTGTTTGGGTTGTCTTCATTTTAATGCTCTCGTTATGATGCGATGGTGCGCTTTATTTGCCTGATTCCCACTGAAGTGGGCGGGTTGTGTGGCGTTTGATTCGAGGGACGTTCTGGGGGCGGGGTTTGAGCTATTAGCCCGACAGTGGAAACGCGACATGATTTCGGCCCCACTGCTCAACCTCCCGGGCGATTGGCCTGGCCCAGCCGGATAAAAACCCTGGCTCGGACTGGACAGGCAGTGGAAATGCGGCTACTGATTGACTGACCCACCCTCCTTCTTTCCTAAACCCAACAAATAGTGGTTTTAAAAGCACCATTTGACCTGAACACCAAATTCCCTAAACCCAACCAACAATTTTAAAAAGCAATCCAGAAAAAGAAAAGCCCTCGCCTGATTTTTACCATTTTTTCAGATGTTACCACATTCTCACCCTGTTGTTTACTTGTTTATTTTATTTTTTGAATTTTGTTTTTGTCTTACCTGCTATCTATATCCGTTCTTCACTGGACTCAAACCCCGTCGTTGTGATCAACTACTCTCTGCATCTCAAGGTAAACTATGTACATGGCAAGCTAACTGGACAAACTGGTAGCAGCAAAAAAAGCCATCCATACGGAGGTAAGTGGTCAGCTGCTTGCGCGAAAAGAAACGGCATTATACCCGTAGCGTTCGTTTTAAAGAAAAGCTGCGATACGTTCCTCTGGCTACATAATTTGCGATCTCCAGAAATGTATGTAGGGCTAGTTTTCAGAATGGTCGATGTTGCAAATGTCTCGTAATACAACATCTGAACAGTGTGTTTAGGTGTGATAACTGTAGTGTAAGTGGAAACCCTGACTATGGTTCCTTCCATTATTAGAAACAGCACTGAAGCATCGTCTGTTATCCTTAACATAAATAACAGCTTTATTAGTAAATCAGTTACACACACTGTGAAAAATATCCGTTAAATAACTTTTTCTGTATTTTGTAATTTACAAGTGTGTTTTTTTTAACAAAATCTCTCCGCAATTCGTAACTTTTTGATTTGGTGACTAATTTGGATGAATTTGTACGATCTGATTCGTACAATTTAGTACAATTTGCTCATCCCCCAATGACGGTTGGGTTTAGGGGTGGGGCTGGGTGCCACGCCTCCTTTTTAAAATCGTACAATTTCCATTGACTGAACTCATTAGCCACTAATCTGGCAAAACGTAAAATACTTATGTTTTCTCATGAGATCAGGCTGTTTTTTCCATTTATTTACAGTTGTGAATAGCATTATGAGAGCTTGGTTTCTGCTCTGTCGTTGTTGAAAATTCAACTCTACAGTTTAACAAAGGGACTTTTATTGACATTTTAGTAATTTAAATTACTGTTAATTAAAAATTGAAATTAAATAATGTATAAGAAGTATTATAGAGGGAAACAAGTCTGTGAAATACAGAAAATGTACTGGCTGTTCATTACAAGTTTTTTTGTACTGTAATATCCAACTCCAACCCAGACAATATATCATGCCAAACTATTAAAACATGAATAAAATCACTGTTTTTAAAAACTTTTTTTGGAAGAAAGCTCAAGCTCTCATAGTGCAATTCAAAAGCTTAAATAAATGGGGAAAAATAAAAGCATGATGAATCACAAAATACGAAAAGCTGCTATTTTATGGATATTTTTGACAGTGCAGGATCTCCTATATCACTAAACAAATAGCAGAGTTTACCTATCAATGCTGACTCTAATTTTTCCACCATGCATGTGCCAGACGTTCTGGAGGAGGAGACCCCACTGCAAGCCGAAGGCAGCCAGCAACAGGTTGACGCCCACACTGGTGAAGCCATATCTCTTCAGAAAGGTCATCAAGAAGCCAAAGCCAATGAAGATCATCACGTGTACATCCTGAAACACTGGACACATAATAAAGAGCTGCATTAAAAAACAATGTTCGCAATGTTTCACAATGTTTAGCAATGTTTATAATACTGCCATTGGTGGCTGATGCCTGTATATCCACACAGTAATTATAAATTCCTTTGTGATATCATCTGTTTAGACTGCTTTCATTATGACTTCAGTGATACTACAAGTTTTATAGCCATTAAAGGATAGTTTAAAAACAATAATAATCAATATTATTTAAATTTAAATAGTGCTTTTCTGGACAAATGAATTTACACATTTACACATCCTGGATGATGGGACGGCAGCCATATTGCACCAGACTGCACACCACACACCAGCTGACTGGTGAAGAGGCAGAGGATAAAGCCAATGATGTTATGGGGATGGTTAGGAGGCCATGATAGATAGAGGCCAGTGGGAAAATTTGGCCAGAATGCTGGGGTTAAACCCCTAATCTTTTTTGAAGGACATCCTGGTATTTTTAACAACCACAGAGAGTCAGGACCTCGGTTTAACATCTTATCAGAAAGATGGCTTATCAGAAAGAGTCCTTATCAATATACTGGGGCATTAGGACAGCGACCTAGCTTTTCCATTTGGTCTCCCATCCAGGTACTGACCAGGCGTAGCCTTGCTTAGCTACAGGGGGTGACCATGTGAGAGTTGCTGTTATGGCGATCTATTACTTTCAGTTCTTTGCCATTTCCATGTGGACTCGGCACAAAGAATTTGACATGAAAAACCACAAACTTGCAATGTAACAGTTAATTTTCCATTCCTTAAAAAAATAAATAAATAAAAAAACAAACGTAAGAACTATTTACACTTTTCCAAGTTTCAATATGAAATGGTTCTGAAGATCGGTCAAAAGACATGTCTACCATCAAACCCCTTCCTTCTTTTTTTGAACCTTTTTTCTGGGTTGCTATGACGTATGACATTAGTTAACATATGAAACGTCATGTACACAGTAAAATAACACAAAATATACTAAAGAAAATGCTGTATCCAAATTACAACAGCTCTATATATCAATACAAATAATATATTATTATAGAAAAATATTACAAATCTTTTAAGGCTCTTTATGGCTCCAACAGATGCAGAAAGCTAGTTGCTAGCTATGCTAATGTTTGAAAATTGTGACAAATGACACCTATACACTGTAAAAAGTGAGTAAACCAATTGACTTAACTTTTATAATTATGTACATTATTATTTACTTAATAATTATAAGGCAATAAGTTTAGTCTCTTTTTTAAAGAAAGGTCAACTAATCACTTTTTTATAGTGTAGTTTTTTCACTATGGATATTATCTAACATTCTTCAAAATATCCTTTTCTGCTTGTTTGAAAAAAGTCAAGGGTGAGTAAATAATTTCAGATTCTTAATTTTTGGGTGAACTATCTCTTTTAATATTACTTTTCACACACCAAGTATAATCACCTCTTTGAGGTTCTGTCTTGTTTCTAGTCCACATATCTAAAAATAAAACAAATTTTTTTATATGTATATATTTTTTATTTTAATAAATTAAATCAAGAAGCATTATCTAGACAAGTAGAAAAAAAGATATTGCACTTAGAAATAATGTCCAAATTAATAAGTTTTTCTTTACAACAAGCTAAATAATCTGCCAATGTTGTAAATAAAATACATTGAATTCTGAATTCAGTGCAAAAACAAGAAGATTTTATTTATATAGATTTTTTTGTATGCCCATTGGCAGATTAAGTTGCTCACTTTAAAGATAAACTCATTGAATTTGACTTTTTGGCTTGTCTAGAAAATGCTTTTTAAGAACCACATTTAGCCCATTCAAAAAATAACAGCTTTTAAAATATGGCAAATGTCCATCTATTTATTGGTCAATATTATTTTTAATGTCTTAGAAATACTTAAAATAAAACATACAGGCTATAATATATGCTTTTGTGATGCTTTTAATGCTTGATGTGTTGTTTGGAAAAAGTTACATGGAAGTTCTTCTGCTTTTGTTGTTCAAAGATAAAGAAAGTAGAGATGAGTGCACATGTTTAACACTAAATTAATTCGTCCTGAACAACACATTTCAGCTCAGCATACAAAACATATATTTAGAGGAAAATGTGGACAAATTTGCTAAACGATCCAATAACCTACAACCATGTCACTGTACAAAGGACTTGTGTGTTCTTCTATTAGTCTGTAAATGACATGTTAAGAAAATGCCCCAAGTAACCCTTTGCGTGTGTTGTTTTATTCATTTCACATGACTCTTGTAACAAAATATACTTACTCTGGGATCAGTCACTTTCAAAGTAAACCAGCCTTTTCAGTGCTTTAACTGGTTGAAGCACAACAACCCTCAAGATATGTGCACAGTTTGTTTATCTGTTTTATTTTTTTTTTTGAAAATGGTTACACAGGTTGATGTTTATTTTTATAGAAAAAAAGTACATTGAAGTGCGATAATACTTGTCTTGAACTAAAATTGACATTCAGTCAACTTTTTTAAGTTTTTCACTGCACAATTTCCATGTTTCCTTAACCAAACACTTCTGATTCAGATCAACAGCTTATTATTAGAGACTAAAAGACCTGGGTTTGATAGGTAAAGGAGACATCCAAAATTCTCTGAAATTTGCTATTCTCTGAAATATACTTCAAATTACTGTTAAAAATGTTTGGCCTTTACTTGTTCATTGACATACTGTAAACTTAAAAGAATGGTTACTAATTCTAAGTACAGTATAAGTGGTGTATAGTTGTATTTACTCTTTTCATTGAGCGGCCTATATATTTTTTCCTAAAAATATAAACTGCATATTTGAGCTGTCTTTACTAAAAATAAATCTTTAAATATGTCAATAAAACTGTCTCACTAGAAAACTTTGAGTGCACTATAAGAATGATTACAAATAAATGTATTTAAAAAACAAACTAGTATGTTCATAAGCTCACTCGCAGTACAAATGAAAACTTTAATTGTGGACTACTTGTACACTTAAAGTACCACTGTTACACTTATGGCACACTTAAAGTAATGTCTTAAAACTAAAAGTACATCAATTTTGTCTCAACCTGTATTCAAATGTACTACTAGACTTTCGAATAATGGTCCATTAGTTATTATAAGATTAACTAAGTATGATTAATCTTGTAAAGCATTCAATAAGAATTGTTTATAATTGTTTAATGCATTATTAACATCCAAATTTATGCTTGTTATAGCATTAATGGGGTATATGCAGATCTAGTGTTTCTTCCCATACAAATTAACCTCCGGTGAATGGTTAATGTGACTTTTTCAATTTTATACAATTCCTTTTACAGCATCAATGTTGTATTCAAATTAAATATAGGCTAATCAGTTAAATAGACTTCAGCATTTATTTAGTTAAATCGTAAACCAAAATGAAAACTTATTTACATGCACGCGCCCGTCAGGATCAGCAGGCTAGTGCAAAAACCGCATTGGAAATACTAAAGTAAATTGTAAATATTTTGAAGACATGGCACGGAAAAACATAATTTAATGCAGTGCTTCTTGTACATTCAGAGATAGTGTATATCATTTAGGCAGTAAAAAAAATTGTTGATTTAAAAAATAATAATAATACCTAAAACTTACTAATTTTGTAACGGCATACACTTCACCGGAAGCGTTTGACCTAGGTAACTGACACATTAAAACCTTCTGCATGCATATGCATATATCCTATTAATGCTCTGAGAGTTAACATTAACTAACATTATTAAACCTAAATAACATTATCAAAGATGTAATAAATGTATTAATTATTGTTTGGTCAATGTTACTAAATACATTAACTAATGGACCATTATTTTAAAGTTACCAAAAAAAAAAAAACATATTTACTATAGCTTTAAAATAAATTCAAAGCCACTATCTAATACTATTATAAGCATGGAAGAGCCAGGATAACAGAAAAAAATATCTGACAGAAAAAAGTCATATGAAAGATGGCTTGACGGTGAGTAAATGATGGGGTAAATGTATCTTTTGGGTGAACTACTTCTTTAATATACAAAATCAAAGAAACAAAAGCAGCTACATGGGTATTTATTGTATCTGAGGTCTTTGGATATAAGGATTTTTTTCTAATTATGCAAAACAACAAAAATCTGTCCAAATATACAAGCGAAAAGTGTCTTTTTTCATTAATATTTCGAGTTCCTTTGATTGATTATTTTGTTTTGCATACTAAAGATCCATGTTAATGTCAAGTGGAAACCAGGCCTGCATGTACACACTGATTGCGAAGCGGCAGCATTGCTGAACTTTGTCCATCTTTCCTGCTGAGAGGAAATGAGTTGTAGGCTGTCCAGCTGAGGAAACCGAACAGGGATGGACAGAGCGATAGGACCCAGTCCAGAACACCTGATTCATCAGCGTTTCCAGACTACACAATACAAGCCATATCATTCTGCCGGCTGATAATAATCAGACACATTAACGACTGTCAGGAAGTTTAAGAAGGCTCTCATTGTCAGTCCCAAGAGAGACAAGTGGAACTGCAAAGCGTGGACCTCCAAATCGCTTTGAATAGGTGAACAGTACTCCAGACTTCCTAGGAATGCCTCTGAAACCCTCCACCCATTCAATAATCTACACAAAATCTACGCCTTCCAGCCGACAAACCCAAATAGTCATCAATCACAGCGCTCATGTCTGACATCTGTTAAGCTCCTCAAGATAACCGATGACTCCTGTAAGAACCACCAGCTATGATTTGTTTGATGAGGCCTTTAACTACATTAAGTTTTATTTGCTCATTGATTATACTTATAGCTTGCTATATCTTTTTATTGCTTGTTGACATTCTTAACGATCATATCCTCTTTTTACAACATGCTCATGCTACTGAAAGACCATGCAAAAAACTATAATATGATGATTCAGTAAAAAACAGACTAAACAGGAAAAACTGCAGATAAATGTGATGATTAAAATATCATCAGCTAATTTCAGTCTTATCTGGCTACGCGAGCCATCTGAAA